AATTATATCTTCCCTCTAAATGGGTGGGTTTTATTTATTACGGACTTTATGACAAGTCCCGCCCGCTGTGAAGCTTTTCTTGTTTCCATAGAAACAACAACTTCCTGTCAACAGCGTAAACTCGCCTTCAAAATAAAAGCATGTCCATACAAAATAGGAAGCCAAGCCAAATTACACTTAAGACCTACAGTAATACCATGGCATCATTGTTTAATTTCACTGACTTTATTTCTTGTAGACAACAAAAACTGTAGAGCAAAACAAATCTTGGTTAGAAATACAAAACTGGGACTATTAACCAGCAGACCTTTAAGCCTTGATATGAAACATTTCTAGAAATACATTCAAGCCTTGAAATAATGTGAGCTTCCCAACATTTTTTGACTGAGACATCTGCAAACTTCCAAAGGGTATTCTGAATTTCAGCTATGTATCATCATGATATAACATGAACATCTCTTTACATTACAGTTATAAAGCCCTCAAATGTTTTTTACAAAGATTTCCAGGTTTTTATTCTGTAATGATGATTAATTATGTACAGAACTGGAGGATTATGAAACACACATCATCTGTCTCTGGTTGTTAGCAACATGTCAGGCCAAACCAGCCTCAACACACATCTGATAGAATATTCCCTGCAGGCGGAGGAGCTGAGAGGGCGAGTCCATCTCTGCAATGGAGCCTCGGTCCATCACAATGACTCTAAGGAGAGAGAGACAAAAGTGAGCATAGACAAGGATACACTTTGCCTTAAATATGATTTACATTATAAACTTACCTGATGTGTAAAAAGCACAGCAGGTCAACTAACTTGCATATTTCCACCTTTATGCTGTTTTGGGCAGGTGAACTGAAAATAATGTATATTCTACAAGCAGACTTAGCTGTGAATAACACAGAATCTAACCTGCCTTTAATCTTTTCTTGTACACTGCATTAAACCAAATACCAGACAAAAGCTAAACTCTGCATGCATATCCTGCGACTTCCATTTCAAGTAACATTAAATATATAAAAATGCATTGCACGCTGGTACCTTGTGTAGTCCATGATAGTGTTGAGGCGATGAGCGATGGTCAGTACTGTACAGTCATCAAACTGAGTCCGGATGGTGGACTGAATAAGCTGGTCTGTTTTCAGGTCCACGGCTGCTGTGGCTTCATCCAAAACCAGTATCCTTGTCTTCCTCAGGAGCGCTCGGGCCAAACACAGCAGCTGCCTCTGACCGAGACTGCAGAAAAACTTCAAACTTTACACTACGCCTCTATGAAAAGATACGAAAAGCATGTCTCCACGCACCAAAGTGCAAAAACATTCATATGTGACTGGCATTTTGGCTATAAGATAGACAACAACAAACAAATCCACATACCATGTACACTAATCTAACCTTATCTCTTTCCCTTTTTGCTCTTGCTGCATTCTAACCCAATCAGAACATTTAGGGGAAAACCACAGGGTTTTGACTTTCCTTATTCACCAATATTGCAGTCCATAAAAGTGTTTTTATGATAGCTAGTGGTTTCCATATTGAGTTATATAATCAAAACGAATGTTAATATATTCAAATACAATCGTGTATAACCCACAATGTAAAAATGCATTATATTTCATGTTGCTCCATACTTACAGCATATACAAAATGTAAGCGGTTTGGAAAATGTATAGAGGGAGTTTAAAGTCTGTTATAGTTTATCACTATGGGTGTCACTGTTTAGCAGAGGGAAGACAGCTGTATTCAGTCACAGCACAGCGGTCACTTATGAGGACTTTCTACTGGTAGGTTTTTACGATAGAAAATAAAATCGAGCTACTAATTTGATTCAAATGCAGCCTTATGTATCAGTCTTCCACTGCTAGTGGTCCAAGTGTGTTGTAGATGGATCTAATCTTAGGTTCTCTCCTCCTTCACAGCACTGATGGTTCAGTTTTTGTGGCAGTGCAGACACAAAGCTGCTCAGGTGAGCGAGTTCCAGAGCGTTCCAGATATCCTCTTCTGAACATGTGTCAAAGGGATCTAAGTTCATCCTCAGAGAACCAGAAAACAGCACAGGGTCCTAGGAAGGAGAGGATGGAGATTACCATAAAACATGAATGAGCACTGGTCAGCGTTCTTATATTGCCTTTGTAGTAACTACATGCATGATAGCAAGATGGTGGCGGGTGCGGACGCAGCGGCCCCTCGCTCTCCCGATTCTTTAGTGTTTTTGAGTGTTTTTAATGTTTCATCTATATGTTCGTCACGTCTGTTGAGTTCATTTCAACTACCCAGGACCGACAACACAGTCAAGAGTAGACAGTGCAGTCGCAAGGTCTTGCTGGACAAGAAAACAACAACAACCCACACACTTGAACTTAGCGGCCTCTGAATACTCTGCCTGACCTTGCTGTGGAGTAAAAGGAAGCAGAAGAGAGGTAAGTGCGGAGGCATCCGGGGTAGGCTAGCAGCTAGCCAACACAGGCCCACTATTCCAAGCTTGCTCATGGCTAATGTACGATCACTGGGCAATAAAATGGACAACATAAGACTCCTCCGGTCGACCTAGAGTGAGGTGAAAGAAAGCTGTGTGTATGTTTTCACAGAAACATGGCTAAATGACAACATCCCGGGGGAAGACCCGCGTTGGAGGGGGTCATTGTTTACATCAGTGATGCTTGGTGTAGGGACGATGTGGTTTTCTGCAAACACTGTTCACCGCTGGCGGAGTTTATGTACGTGAAGTGCAGGCCTTTCCATCTCCCACGGGAAATCCACGCCATCCTGCTAGTAGATGTTTACATCCCCCCCCAGCTCCAACAACAAGGACAGTGAGGATATCTTCGTATGTGTTCACCTTCTTGGCAATAAACCTTTTTCTGATTATGAAAAACATTTCCATTGTAGTGGCTGTTAAAGCCTTTTACTGAGGCAGAAAATAGTTGGTCATCCTAAACCGGACCATCCACCATGACATCAAAGAGTTTGTTTATTTTTGTACAGACCTGAGGAATTATGGTGATTCTGGAGCGGAGGTCATGAAGGCCGATGTGTGCGATGTCGATCCCGTCGATAAAGATTCGTCCCTTTGCTGCTTCCAGAATCCGGAAGATTCCCAAAGCCAGAGAGGACTTCCCAGCTCCGGTCCGTCCAACTATCCCCACCTGCATTACTTGATGAATTAATAACTCAATTCATAAAACATCCAAGCGTCAAAAACTGCAGTTGATGAGGTGGCCACTTGAGACTGGCTGCAGAATAGAGCATTGTCCATATACATCAATGTTAAAATACCCACCTTCAAACTAAAAATGAACATGTCTAAAGCCTGGTTCAAGAAGGGCTTGGTCTCTATAGCTAATATTCCCAAACAACTGTACATAATCACCCACATGGTGGTCAGAGGGCCTAGGTATAAAAGTCACGTCTCGCCACTCCATTTGACTGATGGTTAGGGGCTAAAAGAAAGAGACCCGGTAAAGTCACCTAATAATCGAAAGTGGTGGAATGTGTTGCAATTAAAGGTACTATTAAGTGTGTGTATTTTGAAAATGTTTGTCACAATTCACAATGGTCCCAATGGTTTTTGATAGAGCTGGAAGAAGCTTTTGAGGCTGTACGTCAACCTCAAAATGTAGGGCCCAGGAACCCAAACATATTTTTTACAACGATTATTAGGGAAACGTGCATTTTAATATTTTTTACACTCCAGGAACTGATGGGTCGTGATGGGTGTTAAGTTAAAGGTCCCATGTCATGGCCATTTCTACTGATCATAATTCCATTGTTGAGGTCTACTAGAATAGATTTAAATTGTTCAATGTTCCAAACTCACATTGGTTTCTCATACAGCATCTCTGTATAGTATGTGTATTCACTCTCTGTCCTCTGTACACAGCGAAACCCAGCCCGAACACACACACACACACACACACACACACACACACACACACACACACACACACACACACACACACACACACACACACACACCCGCAGCCTGGCTGGGAGTTGGTGTGTGCTCACACACCAAATCACAGCCCTGCTGCGTCCCGCCGTCTCAGGGAGGAGAAATCGGCGGAGCTGCAGCTGAGAAAAGATTGAGTGTGTGTGAGGATGTCCGCGGATTGGTCAATTTGGACCAATCCACGGACTTAACGTAACGGCTCCGCGGACGTAACGTAACGGCTCCACGGATTGGTGGACCAATGGGTCCATTTGGGTATGGTCACGTCACTGAACCCAGGAAGAAAAAGAGAAATCTCCAACGAGGCGTTCTGGGGCAGCATAGACAGGTCTTTTCTGTGTTAGAGTTTTACTTTACAGGTAAACCTTCATAACGCACAAGGGGACGGGTAATAACCGGAAAAGGATGCCAAAGGACCTTTAAAACCTTGACATGTAATATGAACCTGCGTTTCAGGAGGAAAGTATTTGTGATTGTCATTATGTGTAAGCACAAAAATCAGTTTTATTCAATGTTTTTACATCGTGTTTTCAGACTTAATGAACATAGTGAATTGTGTGGTTATGAAGCCACACAAAGCACTATGTCATGTCCAGTCAATGGCTTTTTCCTAGGGGCCAAGGGGCTTCCCCTGATTTTCAGACCGTTGTCTGTGCTGCCATCTGTTGGGAAAATACTGAATGTACTCTTCCAATATCAGAGCATATGGTACAACTAGTTCCCCGAACAGTGCCCTTTGAAGACCACCTGGGAACCAGCAGTACGCGATCGGGAAGGCAATTCAGATCTCTTAATAATCATATTAAAAAGTGATAATGTCAAATCCCTTATGCTAAGAATGACACTAATGGTTCCTTAGATTTGACAGAAAGTCACGGAATGTACACAGAGATTAGGTAAAACTGTGGTGCAATATTTTGCTCGTTTAAGGATTGTGTTTTGATGCAAACAGCAATATTTTCCCAACACAAGGACGAGGCATCACCATATTCTCAACAGCAAAAATGCCTTTTTTAATGGCCTACATGTTAGCTAGAATTTGAAATACCAAAGCCTATGCTGTGCATTCAGAAAAACTATACACGACAAGAAGATTAGAGATAAGAAGAAAGCAGGGTTATACATAATGGAAATGTTCTGATCACCCCACTTCTAACACATTTTCTGCTCAACTGTTCTCAACGAGCGGAGCCGTGGAGAATGGGAAAGAGGAGGAGGTGGAAAAAAGGGAGAGGAGGCTAACTGGAGGGAGCAGGCTTCACATGTGGCAAAAAAGGACAATTAAAACAAATAACTGCAGGCTGAAGAGAGACACAGAGGAGTGGGGAGGAGGACGGTCAAGCAACTAGAAGCCGCTACTCAATCAGGTCATGTTTACACACACACACCACACACGGAGGGAGTATATGAAATGACCATTTCAGACACCGACACTGACACAGACGCACTAAACACAGTATAAATGATGCTATCTCAATCATAAAAACATTTGTAATTTAGGAAGTACAAGTAGAAGAGATTATTTTCTTATGTGATTCAGGTGCATGTAAAACTGATCAAGAAAACACATTGATCAAGAAATACTGAGAGACATGCAAGAAAATCAACCCGAGGGAGAGAAATCTTAATGAAAATAATACAAATAATAAAAAAATCTATGCACACAGAACACAAAAAGCGTATGGGAAAGCCCAGCAGCCTATTTCGATATTCAGCTATATTGAGCCATATACTGTATGTCTAAACAGGAGGGAGATGTTGAATTGGATTCAAAAGGTGTTAGAAGCACTTGGCTTTACAAACCAAAAGAATAAATAATAATAATAATAATTAAAACTGTGGTCGCACTTGTGCGCACAGTGATGAGCGGGCCCTCGCGTCCGTGCGCCTGTCGGGGAGGGCGGCCGGTCGTCCCGGCGTCAAGCAGACGCGTGCGAGTCCTCGGAAATTAGCCGTTTGTCATTTCTCTAATTTCGCGTCCCAGACTCCCAGGTCCTCCGGCAGCAACCCGGAAACGGATGTCGGCGCGCGGTCTGGGAGGAAAACTAATTTCTCTGAAGGCTCGTCGAGGATCGATTATCGAGGAGGCTGTCTGGAGGAGCCGTGACCGAGGATACACTGACTTAGAGGAGAGAGGAGTGTCTCTGGAGGAGCTATAACCGAGGGTACACTGAAGTATTCTCCGGAGACGATTTCAGCCAACAGTGATGTTTAAAAGAGGCGTGACGCATGGCTCGATGTCAACGAAGCACAGCTCTGCAAACTGTTCCGGTTGTGATTATAAGTTATTCAAGATGATCAAATGTGCATCAGACTTTCTGCCCTTTACCGTTTGTTTGTTTGTTTACTCACTAATCACATCTCCCCTGGATGTTAGGTTATGCTTTCATTGTGAGGCGATGTTTACAGTGAGAACAGCTGCTGAGGTCAGTGCAGAAAGCAGAACAGTCTGTATAATATATATCGCTCAATAACATATGTAACAGGCCTACATTTCACACTTTATTTGTAGGCTTTAGGAGATATCTACAAATAAACAGTAGATATTTTTCATGAAACCATATAGTGCTTCACATAATAAAATATACAAGGGCTGTAGCCTGATATTTAGTTATGCTTTAGGAGCTGTTTGTGTTTGTTGTACAATGTGTGTGTGTGTGTGTGTGTGTGTGAGAGAGAGTGTATGTTTGTCTGTGTGTGTGTGTGTGTGTGTGTGTGTGTGTGTGTGTGTGTGTGTGTGTGTGTGTGTGTGTGTGTGTGTGTGAGAGTTGAAGGTGCAGGCAGACAGGCGGGTCTCAGTAGCTTAAAGGGGACCTATCATGCTATATTTGAATAATATATTG